TATTATTATTATTTTTAAACGTGTGGCAGCCACCCCGGTTTGGGGAGGTCATATGTGGGGCTGTGCTAACCCTAAGAGTCTGGTCTGGCCTGCCCAGAAGGCCCATGTAGCTTGGTTGTGAGATTTGACCACAGGCTGGCTGGCGCTTCGAGGGGCCGTCTGGAAGACCTGCACGCGGGGCCACTGTGCTCAGCGCGGGTTTTAAGTGCAATATTGAGAATTTTTTTTTAAGTGCCCTAGGCTTGTGGGACTGAAGTCCTCTTTTTCCCTGAGAATTCCCAAGGCGCTGGTCTTTGTCTTAGAAGGAATGGAGTTTTTGAATGGTGTGAAAGGGACAGAGAGGGTCGCTTCAAATCGATTTTACTTGTCCTTTCTGTCTTTTCGGATCAGCGCCCTTCAATGGGCACAGAGGTGCTCTTTCAACCAAAAACTTGTGCTACATTTTCTGCCTGTATTGGTGCTAAATACAATAAGCACTGGGCAGATTTTTTTCCCTTTGCTGTCCAAAGCAAGAAAGCACCCTAATTAAATTGTTTTATATAGACAGTCAAGATGGACCAATTAAGTATGCATTAGTATAAAGATATAGTCTGCAGATAAGGCAGTTTAGAAAATCATTTGGGGGATAAATGAGAGGGCCCTAGCGCTGGGGCGGGGGCGTGAAGCCTGAACCTTCCTCCTCCTTGGCCCCTGGGGGAATCCGGGGCTGCCGCTCAGGTGAGAGGGGGGCCGGCCATCTAACAGGTGGGCGCCAGGGTTGCAGACCTGCGCCCCAGGTCCAACTGCGGTGGTGGCACTGAAGGGCTGTCACCCCTCACATCTGACTCTGAGGAGGACATAACCTAGGGGTCTTAGCTGGCTGGTCCCAGAGGGGGCGGAGGGAATAGGGGCATCCGAGGTCTCAGGCGAGGCTCAGTGATAAGGCAGGAGAGTGTGATTCTGAGAAGCTGGTACTTTGGGGCAGAAGTGGGATGGGGACACAGCTGTCGCAGCGGCTGCAATGGCCCTCGGCACTGAGATCAGGGCCAGTTCCCCCTGTCCCCCCACCTCAATTTTCCTGCCTCTGCAGCATTTCCAAGCTCTGCTCTCTTTTCTCCGCTGAGAAGGAGTGCTGCGCTAGGAGCAAAGTGCCCCGACAGACAGCGGGGCTCAGCCCCACACCCCCTCTCCCTCTGAGGTGTGTGGAGGTGGGGGCCAGGGGAGGACACCTTCCCGGGAAGGACACGTCCCCTGGGGCCAGAGTAGGGCTGGGAGGGGTGGGCCCTGCGTCCCAGGGGAGGAGGCGCATGGCCACAGGAGGGGCCCAGGGGTCTCCAGGAAGCCCCCCCCCCTCCCCGAGGTGGACTCGGAGTGGCTTGGGAAATGGCCGAACGTCAACATGAAAAGGTTGAAAAGCCAATTTTACAGGCCCTCTTGGGTTCCCCCCCTCCACCTCTCGCTGGTGGCAGGGCTGTAAATCAGCGGGGGCCGGGCGGGAGAAGCCCCGGCTCTGGGCGCCCCCTCGTCCCCCGACAGCGCCTCCCGGGGGGGGGGGCACCGAATCGATCCGACGCTGAGCTGAGGATGTCACCGCACTAAATATTTACTGATCACACACAAATAGCCGGGGTTTCAACGATTTTCCTCTGTGAGAAGAGCGCAGAGAGAAGGGTAAATCATTTTATTAGTGCGGATGAAGCCCAGAGCACACTCCGGCCTGAGTGTTTTAAAATGTGTCTTCACGGGGATGAAGAGAGTTAGGGAAATCGATACCAAGAGATTAGAAGCCCCAGGGTGACACCCAGGGGCCCAGAACTTTCTGGAACTCGGCGAGGCTGGGGGTGGGGGAGTGCTGACCAGGCAACCGCCTGGGAACTGGGGCGCAGGCCTCGACGGGCGGGCGACGCGACAGAGGGCGCAGGCACCTGCGCGGACTCCGCGGACCACTGGGCGGGGAGCCACTAGCTCTGTGCCGCGAATGACAGAGGCCAGTGGGCGAGCGGTCACCCAGGGATCGCAGGCGGGGAGCAAGGACGCAGGTTTCCCACGCTGTGGCTGTGGCTGGCCGAGCGGGGTCCCCTGACAGCCAGGAGGAAAGGTGGGCTCTAACCGGGTGCCTTTCTCCCACTGGAGTTTCGGGCCCCTAACTTTCTTCTTGAGACATTGCTGCCCCTGGTCTCTTTTAATGTCACGGGGGTGGGGGGGACTCCACGGCCCAGCCACCACCTGGTGTCCAGGGCTCCCGGCGGCCTGGCCAGAACAAGTGCATGCCAGAGAATTGGCTGCTGAGCAGGTGGGAGCAGGTCAGAGGTGCGGAAAGAAGGCAGGGCCAGGGGCACAGACCCGAGGAAGCCCCTCTCACAACTGCCCCACCCCGCACCTGCTGGGCGCAGGCAGTGCGAAGTGCTGGAGATGCGAGGGCTTGGATGACACAGCCAGGCTGGAGAGAGTTTGCTGGGTAGGGGGCAAGAAAGTCTTGTTTCAAACTCAAGTAGCAAAGTCCTAGCGCGAAAAAATCATTTTCCCCGGCTCCAAGTGCTACTGTGAACAAACCTTGAGGTCGGAAACAGCTGCGAATAATCAAGCTGGCACTAATTTCGGGGAGAAGGGGATGGGAGAGCCCCCTTCGTTCCCTCCTGTTCCTTTTCGCTTCTCCTGATTTTTTCCTAAGGTCTCATCTCGTTCTAGAAATGGATAGTCACATTTATTTACGTAAGAGAATTCCTATTGAAAGCTTCCCCACTCGACTTCACTGCTCAGTTTTCTAGTAAGCTGGAGGGATTCAGTTCAGGCTTCCGCTACTAGCCTTTTCGGTGCAACAGGAAACATAGCTAGAGATTCAATTCCTGGTTTTCCAGAAGGGTTTTGTTTTAAATAAGAATCCCAATGGATTGGAGCGATGAGTTCAGGTGTGCGCCTCGGACTCCTAGCCCCCGGGTCCTCTCATTTCTCCGGTTGCAGCTCCGCAGCTTCCGTGACCAGGAGGGTGTCAGGGACCCGTCTCATTAACTCTTCCTAATTTTGGGCAGAGGGAAGGCTAACTGCGCTCATCTACCAAAAGCGACTGTCACAGGGAAGAGGGAGAACAAGAACAAGCAGGACATTCACTCCAGCCTGCTGGTTTTCAGGGCTCCGGCCCTCACTGGTCATCCCCACCTCCACTCCCACCACTACGAAGAAAGCAGGTCTCCATTCATGGAGGCAACAACCTCATCCATCAAGCAGGCCACTCAATGAAGCTGGACTTTAGGGAATAAGGACAGAGACTGTAGTGAAATACTTTCTTCTGTTTAACTGACCACCCAGGTCACTTAAAAAAAACACACACACAAACCACAACAAAACCCAGTTCCAACATGTATATAACATTGAATTATTGTGGGGAAGAAGGTGT